CCCCACCCCGCCCCGCCCCCCACACCAGCCAGCTCAGCTGGGGTGGGGGCAGCATGTGCTAAGGGCTTTCCTTCTCTCCTGCTGCCTGGCCCTGCGTGGTTTCTCTCCCCAGCCCGACCCCTGACCAAGCAGGGGAATGGGGGAAAATAGAGACCTCCACCCCTGCCCCATCCCCAAGCCAGCACAGATTGGGGGGCTGTGCAACAGGGGCTTGCCCCCCCCGCTGCCTGGCAGCATGGCTTTTCTCCCTAGCTCCAATCCCTGCTAGCTGTCAGTGGTGAGGGAGGTGGGGCGGGAAAGTGGAGGCCCCTGCCACATGGACCTGGCTCCCCCAGACCCAGCCAGAAGGCCACATGGTGGGAGCCCCTGCTTCCCTCCCTGCTGCAGACAGCTAGCTAGCAGTGAGTGGGGCTGGGGAAAGAAGTTGTGCTGGCTGGGAGGCACAGGAGGGGGGCCTCTGCTCTCCCCCTGGGCCCCCCTACCCGCCCAGCTGCCAGATGCAGGCAGGAGGCAGGGCTGGAGTAGATAAGTGCAGGCCAAGGCTAGCCTGCCCACCCTATTAGTGGGGGTTAGCAGGGACCTTGCAAAGCAGCCTGGGATGCTGGGGGACTGCAACCGAGTTTGAGTCAGGAGGGGATCTCTTAGAGGAGTTTGATAGACTGATCTGACCTAAACCAATTTAATCTGATATTACATCCTTCCAGGTCTATTTTAGACTGGGATCTGCCTTTTTTTAAACTGGCATTTGTACAGTGAACTTCTGTTCTGCTACAGGTTTAGACTGGTTTCTGATTGCCTATACAGGTTTGTACATGATGTCTTGACCTAGCCTAAATGTCACGTAGAGAATAACTACATCTCGAAGGAGATGCTTTCTTTGTGCAGCTCTAGAAGAATGAAAGTAACAACAAATAAAGAAATTCCAAGGATGTCATACCTGTAACCATCCATCTATTAGCTGTACAGTTTCTGAACAGAAATAATTTTCATAAGAGAATATAATGCTCTCAGATTACATTTCTAAGAGAAAGCAAAGCCAAGATTTTGGGGAATGTAGGGATTTATGGGAAGATTTACTCACCAAGTATTTTTCTGGGAACTAAAAAGGATGATGATATCATTTATGCTAAGAGATAAAAAAATTAAAAGGCTGCAAAGACTCCAGGGGAAATAGGGAAGGTCTGCGATAACAAAGAATTTGCGTCAATACCTCCCCTGGAATAGTGGATGGGAAGGAGGTGGGGAGGTGTGTTCCAACACCCCCCCCCCACCAAATGCCATGCTGCGGCTTAGATCATTATGGTACTTTAAAACAGTCCCCACATTACTCTTATCTATGCAAGAGAAGGACGAGATGAGCTCAGAGAAGTTGCTGCAAAGAGGTACCTAGTCATCCCTCCTGCCTAGCATATAAAGTGGACTTTTGAGACACAGCAATAAGTATCACTGAAAATGTAAAGTGCACACAGTACTTACTGGACCAGTAATAGCTGGGTTCTGTAATCTGGGATCTTCCCACTGGGTAATTTTATTATCTGGAAATAAAAGAGGATACTGTACCATTAATTCTCTTCTATCACTCTGAAATCATTTTTTTTTCTTTTTAAACAGAATTACATCTGCCCCTCACCTTCCTACAATGCCCACAGCTTAGTATTTCAGGGTTAGGAAAGATGGCATACACCCCTCATCCATTATCATCCCATCACACTGTTTAGTTGGAAATGCTCACTCAAAAATGCAAAACTACGGTATAATCCAGTATATTCACACTGCTATATTCACACGCCCACAGTGTCAATATTTAATTGGTAGATCCTTTTTCTTCAGGGATTTTTCACTTAAGCCTGATATGCATTCAACTTTGATGAAGCATACAAAAGTTTCAGGCCTAAAGGTTAAAAGAACAAAAAGCAAACAAAAAAACCAAAACAAAAGCAATTTTTAAAAATACCTAAGTTTTGCAATTTCAAACTTCCTTCTGCCCTTGTACAACTTTAAATCATTTCCAATCAAAATGAAAAAAATCCTGACCATCATGTGGACTTTAAGCCATCCAGTGATGGAATTCTAGTTATTGTAATTTTTTTAAAGAATACAAATATTTAAATTAGGGCCCGAATTACAATTGGGATATAAATAGGCTTCACTGGACAAAGAGATCCTAATCCCCAACTTTACTAACAAATCTATGTTCATTTTTGCCTTTCCATACAGGCAACAAGAGGCACACTTTGTTTTGACCAAAGAGATTCTTGCAAATGATACAATGGTAGCTCAATGACGTTTTTATTTGCATGTTTTCAGAACACTGGTAGGGCAGTGGTTATACACAGTATTACACTGATACTTTTCCCCCAACTCCAGACAGCATATCCTGATAAAATTCTAAACATAATAGAAACACAACAGGAAGATGGTATCACAACAGTAAGATAATGCTCCAAAAACCAAATAGGTGATATTTTTCATGGTAAAGCCTTAGTTAGCCATTTACTTCATTGAAAGGGCAATAATACCCACTGCATTATTATAAGTGTGGATATGCACATATTTGCATAGTAAAACAGTGGTCAAGGTTTTGGAGATTTTTTTTGTGCAGGGCAGGAAGGGGGTTAGTGAAGTCAATAAATTGCTAGCTTGGTAATAAACATATTTGCCAAGTTTTCCATAAGATTATTGTAGGTTAACATTTTATGTTGAAATAAGAGAATTTGCTGTTCCTCTACAGCTGAAACAGACATTTCTGTTTTTAACATGTGGATTTAATCGTAAAATGACCCCAAATAAATTGGTTTGCCAAGAACTGATATTAAAAAAATAAGTCACTGAAGAAAATTTAAGGGGTAAGAAAGATACAAACTTCCTGCAGCCTTCTTTTGGGCATGTGAACACATGAGCTTTAATGTGCATTAGCCTATTTTAAAGCGTATTAGTGCATCACAAAAAAAACATGTGCTTTCACTAATGTGCATTAAAATAGTCTAACACATCTTTTTCTAGTACCTCACAAAAGAGGTATTAAATTTAATGCAAATTAGAAAAAGCACGTTAATGAATGTGTAGATGCACCCATATGTTAATCATTCAAAATTATGTCACTGGTTTTGGGTTGCTCCTTATATACATGAAGTATATTGGTGCTTATGGGACTTACAATTACAGCTCTGAGGATTGAATAATCTCCAGAGAAGAGGGGCAGTAACAGTGCAAGCCTCCTCACTTTGCCCCACCTATCTGGCTTCAATCCGGTTTGGAATGCTCTTTTCATACCTTAACCTCCCTTCTGAGCCCGCCAACCAAGGGCATGAATCAGAATTTGTCTAAGTATTTGAGTTGGTCTAATAAAAGATATTGGATTTACCCAAAGAACCTTGTTTGCTTTGGTTTTTTTACACACATTACTAGTTTTCATGTTGCTGACGTTCCAATGATATACATTACCATAATCTTTTATATGGAAATGCTTTAGAAAATGTAATGCTTTAAAAACTGCCCATTTTAGGAGGCAAAGATAGGACGACCAGATTAGTGCACTGTTAATGTGTTCCTGGATCAACATATTCTGGGAAGGGTACCTGATTATGACTATGATTAGCTTCACGTCTAGGTTTCTTTGACTTACTTGTGACTTAAACAATTTGCAATAGGTTAAAAGGGAGGCTAATATTACCATATCCCTGCCTCTTATATGGCATGAATGTCATTGTGTTTCCTTACCAATACTGTGAAGACAGACACTAATATTTGCATTGTGGAAGGCAAGTCACTGAACATTCTGTACTATCATTTGCTTAATCCTAAATACAATGTTATCACAATGAAACTGGAACAAGTCCACTGTGATACCATTAGTTTCACCTTTGATGCTGGTCTACTGGTTACAAAAGGTGTAATTTGAGAACAATGCTATTTACTAGACACAGATATCACTATCAAACATGCTTCTTGCAAAGTTTGACATCCACAAAACTAAAACAATGCATCTCAGGAAGAGGGAATTAGAGAAGAAATGTCAAATAAAATGTAAGATGTTTGACAGTCGTTACAAATTCACTGGGGAATTTTGACTTGTATGTAAGTTTAAAATTTCCTTTGCAATTCAAAACTAAAACACATGCTGAAACAACTAAGGGACCTGATGATTTTAACTCTCAAAAGGCAGGTAGTTACAGCAAATGTAAAGGTGTTTCACATCAAGCTGTTCCCTTCTTTGACTCCTAAAAGGAGTACAGGTAAAATTGCCAATGTTTGTAGGCACTTGTTGGTTAATTAAGTTAATTACTAAAGAAATAAAGACTAATAATAATTCATAGCAATTTATGAAACAGATTAAGCTAGTTTCTCTGCAAAGAATGCATTATTTCCATTCCTTATTGAAAAACTATTCATGCAGTTTCAAAATTCATAACCTACTTTACAGGCAGTATTTTTAAACCAAGGTAATATGCAACTATGGATAAGTGTAGCAGTTAATACTACTGAGAGAAATTGGAAACCATAATCCTGTCAGGTAGATAGAATAGTTTAAGATTTTAATTTTGCAGGTCTTGTGTGGCTTCTCTCTCCACTCTCAATTTTGTTTCAAGACCTCTATATTTTGTAAAGATTATGTCATTAATAATATAAACCTCAGAAAAAAAACCAAGCTAAAGGTTAAAAAGACTTCTGTTAGACTACAACTATATTTTAAAAGAAAAACCAACAGAAAAAAAAAAAAAATCACATGTTTGTTTGGAGATGCTGTAATAAGACAAATCTACAATGAAACATCATTTACATTGGAACTTCAGTACAAGAACTGGCTAGATATTAATGGATTGGGTGCAATATAACATGCTACAAATAGAAAATAAGGTCAGAATTGGCATTTCCACAAGACCTTTTTAAGGAAGTGGGAGGCAAGAGTTCTTGGTGTCATTTCTTCCACTGCCTATATTTGGACTTGTGGTTATATCCTCTTTTTTCTCATCTTATTTTCTATTCCTAGTGTGTATTTTAATTTATTTAATAAAGTGCAAATAAAGCCATGGGATCATCAACGACGACAACAACAACGAATCCAAAATATCAACAAAAACAAAGAAATATCACAAATAAAAAATGTTAATGCTTCACAAGATCAGAGAGGGACAAAGCTTGATGAGCCGATTAAAAGCAAGCTTTTGGTGAATATACAGTACCATATGAGGGCACTAAGTCTCTGGTATCAATGTCTCCACATATCAACACCTGGCGTCCTAAATGAAGAGTAAAATTATAAAGCTTTCACTTCAATATTTATTACCTCCCTTTGTCTGCTTGTTGTAGTACCTGGGTGCTTACTTACTATGGTCTATATAAAATGTTCTTCCATCCAAATGTATTCTTTCCTCCCAACCAGGCTGGAATTAGAGAGAGAGAAGAAAAAAAAAAAGAGAGAGAGAAAATGTGAACTAAAGCAGTGCTACTGTAGCAAGTAAACTATTCCATTACTATGAGTCAGGCATATTTGCCTATATCTACTTATGATATTTATTTGGGTTCATTTTGCAGAACAAGTCAAGGAACCAAGTTTCCAAGGTGGACTGGATGTTCATTTGGACAACAAGCACATCCCAAGTTATGACAGCAAATGTTAACAGAATTTTTGGAAAGGATATGAAACCTGCTTCAAAGCTTACACCAAACACTAAATTTATTGGGTTTGGAGGAGAATTTCATAAAGAGTTTATCATCTCAAATCCGTATAACATAGGGGTTTTCTGGTTTTTACATTTTCCTCTGATGCTGGTCATCATCAGACACAACATCCCGAAGCAGGAGGTACAATTTGTCAGATTCAGTGCAGTAATATTTACTTCTTAACCACCCATCTTTAAAATGATTACATGAGATGGTAAAGAAGGATAGAAGACAAAAGACTTCTTAGTACCCTGAACACTATTCAATTCTGTCACTGACTGTAGTTCTATATTCTACATCAGATTCAGCCTCATTGACAACACAGAAGTTAAACTGTTTTAATTTCAATCTGTTTTAAACAAGTTTAGTAAAATATGTGCAAAAGTCGGTACAGATACTCTTGCTGCAGTTTTAAAATGGGGGATTTCACCTCTGTTTAAAACATGTTGATTATTTAAATATACTCAGTGACATAAGACAGGTTTGCACTGGTTTAAGGATTTTAAAACAGTTTGAAATCAAACTATCAATTAAATCAGAGTAACTGTAATGAAAGCATCCCTCCCTGGACATCACTGTATGTCCACTTTATCTGAAATATACTACTGTAAAACACCCTCTTTATTGCTATTTTTAACTGCTCTAACATTGTGTTGTAGCCTGTTTGCACATAATTACAAAGATGTCAAATCAGGCCTACATTAGGAATAAGAGAGACAAAAGTTATGGTGCTTAACAAGTTATCTAACTTAATTAAAACAAAACATCTTGTTTTCCTTCATCTAAACAGAGACAGGTAACCACGCTGGTCTGAAGTCAGGCAAGCAAAAGGCAGGGCAGGGTGGCACCTGACTGGTTCAGTGAGACAGCTTTCGTAGGCAACAGCATCTTCAGAAGTAGGTTATCACCAATACCAGTTAGTCTCTCAGGTGCCATCCTCTCCTGTCTTCTGTCTAACATAACCAGGGGTAGTTAAACTTCCTCCCAGTAGCTTAGATGTTGATTGTGCTAGAGGCAACCTATAGCCTTTCTGTACTTAGGCGTCCAGTGTTAGTGCCATTTCATCTGAGCTTGTTACCAGCAGCAGGAAATAGTTACAAAAGATTCTCTGGTGACACAGCTAATGAGTGTTACTGTTATCAGGCACCAATAATCAAAAGCAGTGAAGAAATCCAAATTTTCCCACCATCAGTTTTTGTCTTTACGAATAAAGCCTTTTATGAACGCAGGCTATGTAATGTATTCTGACTATGATGCAAATCAACAGTACATTTGGATTAAAAAATAATGCAAATATCTCTCAGGATTAAAGCAGTAAAGTTTTATGCAGAATGCAAAACTATCATTTAAAATCTAAATTAAACCTAAATGATCCACCCCTGCCTTATGCTATAAGAGATGGGGGGGGGGAGGGGGAGAAGTAAGCTTGATTTTTTGAATGCCATGAAAATGACAGAGGCGAAGACATTGTTACTTCAGCAATTGTTCCTGGATTACACAGGCCTTCCCTTTCACTCCAGTGATTCAAGCTTATATAATGGTTTTGTTTTCATAGCAACGTGTAATCATCCAAAGTCATGAAGCCAATAGTAAAGACACAGTTAAAGCTTCTGCAGTGCTTGAACTTTTAGCTAAAGAGGTATATGCTGAAGCAAAGCTAACAAATGATCAGCTACTTCAGAAACATGATTAGCAGGTTCCAGGAAGCATATTCCTATTACACTAGTCAAATTGTGAAGAAGCTCTTTTGAGTATCATACACACACATGACTTGTCTGAGATGGCAAAGCATAGATTCATACTCAGTTGGGAAACCGACAAATCCAGTCTCAAAAGGTCTGAGCGCATATTACGAGACATGTACACTTGACACTTACAGGAAGAGGGCCCAAATCATTAGGGTTCAAAGAAGCTTTTGATCTCAAATGTACTGGAAATTTCAGTCGAGGATCTTCCTGTAAGATAAACATGACATGATAAACCCTTATCTCATAACAAAGATGCTCAGTTTAGTGCTTAGTTTTAATTTTCATGATTTTAAAATAATAGATATTAAAATAGTTTTCATGAAGCAAAATAATGATAAGTGATTGGAAATCATTCATTAAGGCCAGGTACAGCCTTTACACTTTTACCAATATAAGTGATTAGAAACTGGTCTATACCCATAACAGAACAGCAGTTTGGCACATAGACTGGTTCACAATGGTAGAATCTGGTCTAAGATTTGCACTCTCCAAAAGGGCAAATGTGTGTTCTGTTCATATTAGAATATCATTTTGTAAGGCTTTCAAACCCACGTGAACACCTTATGTTACTAAAGATGCTCTTATCTGGTTGCATTAAGTCACATACATTGTATAACAGTACCAAATATGGATGCTGTCCCCTTTTGTTAGTCAATATTCAAATCACTAAGACATTTATGGCACAACAAGCTGCTTTACAAATATTGCCAAAGTGCAAGCTTGCAAGTAGCTATGAAAATCAAACACAATAAACCAAACATCCTGTTGAATAACAATTCACAATATGTTTGGGGTTTTATTCCTTCTGTCCATTTGTCATTGTTCATTCCTAATTTTTTGGCACACTGCTATGTAGTTTGATAACATCCTTCTTTTCCCTTACTGTTATGCATAGTGATCAATCAATTCCTCGCTGGCAAAAATCATCTGGGTAGGAGTTTACCCTGCAGAATTTACTTCTGAAAACAAGTCAGGCTCCATATGATGATGCACCCAGCTGGACTTAGGTTTCTAACAATTATTGAACACAAAGCTAATTAAGCTCAAGTACATTCCTCTCTCAAAACACTGTGCCTTGGCTAACTAAATTCAGCACGATACGTGAGCATCTTTTGGAAGGAGAGGACATTATGGACTAGATTGTGCCATATTATTTGCAAACTGCTACATATTTGCAAGTTACAATCAGAGGTTGAGAGTTTCAATATTTTGGTTTCAATATCACTTCATCAGAGTAGTTTGTTATAGTTGCCTTATTCCATAGTTATTCTCTATTATTTTAAAATCAGGGAAGAGCAAGAAGACTCTCCTTAAAGGGCTTCTTTTGCCAGATAAAATAAAACCTTAACTCCCCTGTTTGCACCTTAATGGTGAAACCAGCTCAAAGGTCTTGGTTTCAGATATACACCACCAATTTGACACTATTTCCTTAATATGAAAACATGAGAACCTGTTGTATTTGCTACCAATGGAAGACTTGTAACCAACAGCTGTCACCGCACAATTTAGCCATTTAAGCCCGGGAAGAACTGAAAAAGCAGTTTGGCCATGTTAAGATCTTTTTTTCTTTTTTCAGAACGATATACAAGAGAAACTTGGATATTTGTAACAGAATGGCATATTCTGAGTGCTGCAGTAATGTTTATGTTTTCCCAGTGACCTTTTTACTGGCAGAGGAAAGAATAATGATGCAAGAACTCATCTTCTCTAGGGATGCCATTTCCTGGATGTCAGATTAAAAAAGATGGTTGGCAACAGGGCCTCAAGTCTTTGGAATGGACTCTCTCCATGGTCTGAGGCAGCCTGAATTTACTGTCCATCAGAGATACCCAGGAAGTCTCATCTTTTAAATCACATGAGCTTTTAGGGAGAGTGACATTATTGCCAGATGATGGTGGACTATTTTGATCTATTCTCAGTTTATTTAGTTGTTGCTTTGTTGGAGACGGGAGGAGTTCTCCAGCTTTAATCCACCATATTTTAAAATAACTATTCAGTGGACCACAGTAAAATGCATCTCTCTTTGGCTTTTGCAGATTTAAATAAACAAATCAGCCAGCCAGAAGAAAGTGTTCTCTTTCTCATGATTTTGGATGGAAGAAACAGATAAAGATGAGCTTCTTACATTCTTTTTAATATGTACACATTAAGTTTATTGTGCACTGTGGTAAACTAATGTAAAGACGTCCTAGGAGAAATCCAGATACAAAATTGTTTGGATTTACCTGGATTTACCCACATACACAGCTATTTGGGCTGCTACAAGATCAAACCTAACAGCCATTGTTGGAGGCCCTGAATAGTTGTGGTGATTATTTGGCATCAGCATGACATAAAACAAATGCAAGTGCATGCTGTTTACAATTAAATCCAACCAGCAACAATTATATTGCAATGATGATGTGGAAAAGCTGGAATATTCAATTGCTAAGCTAGCTCAAATTACTAAAATCAATAGCTTGTTTTGGCAAGGCACAATGACGCCATATGCTAATCCAACCATTTTTTTTCTTTTAAAAATGTTCACCCTCTATTTCTAGAGTTCTAAATTCAATTTGGAGAGTTGAAATAACAATAATACAAGTACAAGGTTTAAACTGCATATTCATATGTAAATGATAGAGAGTCAGGCTAGTTAAAACTATAAAAATTAGCAGCCTCAGCTCAGAAAGCTACAAATTCATGTTGGCACTGCATGTAAACTGAAAACGTTCTACTAAAATTTGAATGCCTGGCTACATTTAAGCCTTTCCTGAATTTAACAAAGAAAATTCTATTAAATTTTTTTTTTAAATGCCAAAATAAAATGTAATTGTTCAACACCCTATTTTATAGCATGCAATCATGAATTTTAATGTTACTTACTAAACCTTCAATATACCGTAGGCCGACAATCAGACAATTTTCAAAATCGATACCGTTACCTCATTAATTGTGCTGACATATGACAAATTAGTATTTTTTTTCCAGATACTTTGTTATTCAATAGACTGGCACCAGGTCAAACCTGCCTTTCACACCCAATATGTATCTTGACTATTTACTATATTTACTCAATGTAAGCCAACCCTGATTATAAGACAACTCCCTAGTAATTAAATGCTATATATAGGAAATGCATAAATTTGACATCATTTTCCAGGTATAGAATGTAATTATTGGAGGTTTACCTCAAATTTGTCCTTCTCACACTGCTATGGCAAGGAAAATAAAATCTGTGGGGTCAGGTAGCCCCTTTGCTTTCTGCTTCCCCTTAGCTTTTTTCCCCTGGCAGCCTCTTACCCACTATCCTTACTGTCAGACCCTGCTTTCCCTAAGCACATGGAAGCGAGGAGCAAATTAAAAAAAACTGAGCTTGAAAGAAACACAGCGGTAGCAATTTCTTTATAGTACCCAGAATTGATGCATGTTAACTTTTTTTTTTAAACTGTTGCAAGTTTTAGCACAGGTACTCCATAAAAATACCTTTAAGTAGCATATTGGCACCTATTTACATAGCACCTACATACAAACTTTGCATGACGTTAGTCAAAAACCAACAGGCTCACGATTTACTGTACATGAGTCACTATACGGTAAATCATGAGCCTTTTGGCTTTGGAACTATATTATAGTTCATTGGACTGGGCCTCCGGAGAGTCAACAGTATTTCAAACCACAGTGACCCCACAGCTGAGCAGCGCTCAGTGTGTGTTTGCACTCCAGATACCCACCACCCCACGACAAAGGAGCCATGTACTAATTAGCCCCCACTCATGACTGGAACTGGGTGTTCTTGACATGAGTTCTGGGATCCTCTAAAAATTATATGTAGATGAGGCACAGGACAACTTGATTCTAGCTCCACCTCACTGGAGGGCAGGGCCACACTAATCATATGCACCAGGCTGAGAACAGGTTACAGATGGATTCTGTGTGAACTGTTTGGGGCCCCATTTTGTGATGTTTGTCACACATTTAAAGCCGATGAAGAAAAAGGAATAATTGGAAATGGGAAAGAAAGGTGCAGCTCAGTTGAGAGTGTGAAGAAGAATTGTAATCTAGGTAATGTAGAGGCTCACCATGACTTGATAAAGTCAGTGCTGAGGGGGACTGCACTCAGTGGACACAACCAATATACTTTATTCAGATGGGTTTCACTAACATATCCTTGTGGTAGGTTCCTATCAGCATGTTTGCCCAATATAGTCAATGTACTTTATAGTCAGAGTCAGTGAGAACTGCATTTAATCAGCTTCACAGTTGGTTTTCGTTATTGAGCACATGCTGCTTTTAGTAGCAGTTCAAAGATAGACAATGTATTTTATACAGTCTCCTTGTACGCAAATGTAAAAATGAGGAAATTTTTTCTCTATGCTGATTACGAAGAAAAACTTTGTTTTGTATTTGAGTAAATACAGTAGTTTTCTCCAAAAATTCAGTTGTATTATGAGGGCAGCTATCACTTAAGCATCCTTTGTCAAAGTGCTTAAATGTGTACCTAAGTTTAAGCATGGGCTTGAGTCTCAGTGAAGCCAACGGAATTATGCATATGCTTCAACAGTTTGATGAACTGGGTGCAAATGCCAATGAATGCGCCACTGTATAAAAGACACGTTGGTCCAAATAAAAGAAACTACTCTTCGATACTCATTATGGAGATTTTCAAAAGCACTAATAGGATTTAGATGCCCAACTCCCACCGAAGTTTTTCAGGGGCATTTGGGCCTTCGAAGAATTTTTTCTTTCTATGATTGTATTTAGGCTAACAGCTTCCTACAGTTCTGATTTCAAAGCTAAAATTCTGGAATGCACAAACACCAGCAACTTAATCCAGTTCTCTCTCAAGGCTGCACACAACCTGAATTACTCCACACAACTATGAGGCAAATTTTTCAGGGAAAGGCAGCAAGAAAAAGAGGCAGCTTGCCATCCTTTAATAATTTTGTATTATTTGGGTTTCCCTTTTAATATCATGGACAATTGGAAAAAAAAAGAAAAAAGAAAAATGCAGGTCACTGCTACAAGACAGCTAACACAATAGAAACAATAATGGGAAAGAAGTGAAAAGGGCAGTGAAATACAATAAAACTTGAGATAGCTGCCAGCTGAAACAACGGACCCAAACCACATTAGACTTGTGCACCTCTGAAATCTAAACTCAAATTCAAATTATGCAAATGGAGCCAACTATTCAAACTCCAGAATGTTCAAAATGTCCTGGTTTCTACAGATGGAAACTAAATATAATATTATTATTTGTTCAGAATAACAGCCATCTAAACTGGTTCATCAAGTATATAGCGTATAAAAGGCAAAAAGGTGAGATGTACAAATCTACTACAAATGTACTTTCTGTGGCTAAGTATACAGACATAAGACTGCTTTCTCTAACAGTAGGAATTACAAAACCACAGCTTCCTTGGGACATGAGCTTTCTAGGTGTATTATCACTATTCATCTGTGTGTTACTACTGCACACGTTCAAGGATGCATTCTCCTAGTTGCTCTACAAACACATGATGCAATTCTCCTTTAATTAAAGACAAGGCATGACAAAAATATTCAACAATAAAAAGTAGGTGATGCAGGAAGGAAGAGAAAGACAACAAACCAGGAACATTCAGAAGACACTTAAGAGACTTAAATTCAGGAGCTAGAATTCATCTTACCCAGGTAGTGGTTTTAGTATTGTGATCAATGAAGAAGGGCCTGCCATTTGGAGCTATTCGCATCTCCCAGCCAGGGGGCAAGAAGCTCTGTGTCACTTTGTGTTGTGGTTTAGGAGAATTATAAGGTGAGGGCTGGGGAGACTGAGGATTCGAAAGGGTATCCTTTACAGCTCGGCGTGCAGGTGAGTCCTTGGAGAGTCCCTGTGGAGATGAACAACAGGAAGATTCCACATATATCATTTATATCATATTGTGAATGATACTTGATATCATAAGTGAACAGTTATTCAGCAGGGATATGAGCTATATAAACAAGGTAAGCGCTGATGATGAACTCCATCCTTATCATTCATTTATGTTGAAATTGGCTCTTCCTTTCTACATATTACACTTTGGAAAGCTGTCGTGTTCCATCACTTTCCTCAGCCAGTTACATAGCTATGGAATCTAAAATCTTTCTATACTGCCTCCTCAAAGATAAAACTTAAATTTTATATAGAAAAAAGATCAAAATTCAGGCAATGCTTCACTATATATATCACACTCTATCTGGTTAGAAACAAGAGGTGAACAGAAGGCAGTGTTAGATGAACAGATTATTCCTCTATTCCAATTCATATCAGTTTGCAGAAAATTCATATTTTAAATAATCAGCTTTATTCTTCTTTTGCACTTTATACTTTTTGGTTATCTCCTAATAAAAAAGTTGCTTCCAACTGCCTGGTATAATCTGTGCTGGGTTTTTTTTTACTAACCAGAAGAGTACTATATATCTATACACACTTATTTAGAAAATTAGTATAGCTGATTTACATAGAATAATTTAATATTAATATATTAAGATAGTTAATTGTAAATGTTTTTGATAGGAGAACAGGATGTCTTATTCTTTACATAACCAGATTTTTATTAATTTTTTTTTATTTGTTTCAAGCTGAATTCAAATAGAAATTAGAATTCACTTAAAAAGTACACAAAAATGAACTTTATTTTTTTTGTAAATTAAATGAATACATGGAAAGTATGTATGAATGGAAAGTACTCAAATTAATGCCTGGAAAGTTAATTAGTAAAATATGTTTTACATTGATAACTGACTCATTAAATGATTGCCGTCAGTCACCCAAGCTGATATTTCTTCCTGGTCACTACATCCTTCAAGATTTTAGAACCAGCAGGTCTCACTGTATGACACTTGCACTTTTTTAATGGATTAAAAGTGGAAAAAACAACCTTCCTCTTTTTTCAACTCCCAATTGGCTTTTCAACTTTGACTGCATTAGCCACCAAACAGAACTAGCTGAAATGGAGAGAACAGATTCTCTGCACCTGCTGAAGTGGCTTCCACTGTCAAAAATTCAGCTGAGTTTCAACAGGTTGCCTCCCACAACATTATTTTCCATCGTAGTGTTAAAGTTCTCTCCTGGGCAGTGGGAGACGTGGGTTTCAAGCCCTTCATACTGAGGAGGTATGAGGTTGCAAGCTCTTCATGCTAAGAAGGTATTAAAGCCCAGGTTTTCTGTTCCTCTGTTGAATGCTTTAACAGCTGCACTATTCGGCAAAACCTGGTTACCACCTTATTTCCCAGTATTTCATTGAACTGAGTTTAATGTGACTGCTCCCTGAGCACAAACAGGGTGCATCTACACATTCAATTCATATGCAGCAAGAATCTCTGGTGTATATTGAACTTCAGTTTACTGCTTTTGGGTGCCATGTTTGAAAGTGTGCCCAGGATTGCACTGTGTTAAGTCAGGATATAGTAGCCCCAGCTGGCACGGGACTTGAAGGGGGCGCTGCTCCAACCCAGAAAAATATGCGCGGGGGCGCTGGCTAGGGCATGAGAGTGCTTCACTGTGGGGCTAGCCAGCAAGCAGCCCTTGCACTGAAGCACCCTTGTGCCCCAGCCAGCCCCGTCAACATCTACATATGCATTGTTTTAGAGCAGAAAACTCTGCCATAGGATAGTACTTATATTTGGAAATACTAACCTACAACCAAGTTAATTAGCTTACTCCATGCCACTAGCACTCCACATGTAGACCCTAAGATGTTTACTGCAGAGCTAATTAGGCAACTCTGTGGTAAACATCTCATGTAGACGTGCCCATAAAGGAACAGGCCTCTCTGGGGAGTTAGGTACCATGCAAGAACTAATCTAGATTATAATGGAGTGAGTGTTAGATACCTAGGAAATAAAACTGGAGAAGTTCTAAGTATGTGCAGAAGATCAAGTACAGGTGAAAAAGGAACTTGGAGGCACCATGTGAACATAGGAATCAAAAACATTTTGTGGAGTAGGACCAAAAATGAATTGTTCTTTAGGATTTAGGGGCATTTACTGATGTGCTCTGGAGGGGCGGGGGGGAGAGCGCTTTAATTTGAGAGGTTCCAAGAGCTGCTCTAATTGAAGCTCCCAGAGCATCATGTATATCAGCATCCCCATGCTTAAAAAAGTGGCAGTGGGGACACTTTAACTAAAGCTTGAACAAGATTTAAAGCACCCCACCGTCATTTTTCAGCACAGGGACGCTGATACACATGACACTGGGAGCTGCTGGAGCACAGTAGTTACTGTGCTCCAGCAGACTTGATTGAGTCTGCTCTGATGTGCTGTAATTACAGCACGTCGGAGCAGACTCCCTGGTGCTCTAGGTTCCTAAATCCTGTTTAGGCACCTACAAAACAAATATGGATCGACCCCTCAGTTACGTGCATCCTGAGAAAATTCTTCAGACATTTTCTTGAGGAATAAATAACAGCACATTGTTGTAATGGAAGATTATATTTAATGTGAGTGTATGAATATAATCAGTCAAGATACTAGATCTTGCTGCCAAAAGTTACAACCTTAAATACATATGTATTCACAACTGGATGTTGGATGCTTAAATATGTATTTCAAACTTTAGTCTGTTCTCTTCAGCATCACAACATTTTTTGGAATCAAAGTCACATTTTCAGAAGTGGCAGTCCCGCTGTCTTTAAGTGCATGTAGGCTGCAAAAACTACTCTGGAAAAATTTTTGCATCAAAGTTGACAGCTAAGTCTACACCAACAACGAATTCCTAGAATTATCTTCAAAAGTACTAAAAGAAAATTAAAATATCCTACTGAAAGAAAAAGAATACAACCCAAAAGTTTTAAGCCAGTCTTCCTTCCAAGACTTTCCAAACTCAGTCTGCATGGCCTTGCTTTACAGTTCACATCATCCACTTTTCAAAATAAATGATTCAGCTTTTGAGACTATTTCTAACTTGATGTACTAATTTTAATGTCTAATTTGACACATCTTAAAAAGGAGTGACAATAATGCAAGTATTATAGTGTATACACACACAGTGAAATGAGCTAATGCTACCAAACAACCCTGCAGGAGAAAGAATATTTCCCATACCAAGCAGTGACTGTGAGAGCTGAATAAGAGAATTAGGTAACACTATTACACAAAATAAAAGTACATGTGGAAAACACTGCTTCAGAAAATAGCATTGTTGCAAGGCAAAACAACAGATAAGGAAAGAAGAATGGTTGGCTGCAAAACTGGAATGAATATAAAAAGTTAAAAGACAACAAAAAGAATGAGAAGTCAGTACAGAAGCAATCCTTGTTAGATGAGACACGACTTCTCACCTCAAGTGGAGCAGATAAAGTTACTGTGGGTGAACTGAGGCTACGAGGCCGTCTTATCTGAGGTTCACTGAGATGGTTGTTACTGTTTGTTGCTGACCCAACTGCACCATCTTCTGCAAGCTAGTTCAGAGGCAAAAAGAAGTTTAGCTAAATGTCAGAATTATCTTAATCCATAGTTAGACTGTTAAAAAAAGCTGTTGCTACTCTGTTAATTTTTTTTGAAATAAGTATTAAACAGATTAATTTCAAAAGCCATGTTCAATGGAAGCAAAAATTAGTCTCATTAAAATAAAAAAAAATGACCCAGACTATCTATATTAAGTGCTACAAGAATAAAATCTTCCTTTGGAATTGGATTGTAAAATGTACAACTTACTTTACGCATCCGTCTCAAATTTTGAGCACTGTGTTCTTAACTACATTTTTATTCTTCCCTTAACAGATACTTAGCAAAAGAATTAACTTCAATTACTGTAAATCTTCATCTTCATGGTTACAGGCAATTGCTTTGTTTTGAATTGTCACCACAATCCATAACTTGTTGCTGTTTAAGAGCCTTGCAGAGCTCTTTCACAAGTGATGTATACCTAATATATATTAAGCATTTTCTTGCAGTTTTTAATCAGGATAACAATCTTCATACCTGCATAATGGGCCGAGTCCAAGTTGTGGTTCGATTGTTATGATTGACATAATAAGTACGTCCCTTAGCATCTTTCCTTTCTTCCCAGCCTGAAGGTAAGCCCGGTGTTGTATGCACATAGGCCACTGATGGCTGTTTATGCAAGAAATTACCATATTGTTATTTGTGGTAACTTGAGAAAGATTAATTATCTTCAGAAATCTAATACCTTTTTTTGACGTATGCCATTCCTAAACTCCCACACCAGGAAACTAACAGGGGTTACAAAAATGAACTGGAAACTATGCATCATGATAGAAACTGCTTTCATTTTTTATGGTTTTCCTTTTTATTTACTCCCTGTAGCTGTGATGGTAAGAAGCAGTCAGAGAGACCATTTGGTGGGGAGAAGAAGAAAAAAAAAAAACAAAAAAAACTTATCCTGTCTTTGCTATGGAGTGACTAAGTAGTCTCAGGTCAGTCACAACCTCT